TGGTACTGGGGATCTAATCCAGGGGTGCTTTATGGTAAGCTGCAGAGCTAAGCCACAGAACCATATCCCTTGCCCTTGTCGGGTTTTTTTTTTTTTTTTTTGGTATTAGGGATACCAATCAGGGGTGCTTAACCACTAAGCTATATCCCCAGTCTTTTTATTTTTCATTTTGAGACAGAGTCTTGCTAAATTACTTAAGGCCTCACTAAATTGCAGATAAGGCCTCAAATTTGCAATTTCTTCTTAGCCTCCTAAATCACTGGTATTAAAGGGTGTGTCATCTTTGCCATTGCAACCTTTTTTTTTTTTTTTTTTGTGGTGCTGGGGATTGAACTAAGGGTCTTGCACATGCTAGGCAACTGCTCTACCACTGAGTTGTTTCCAGCCCATGCTTTAATCATTTTTTTCCCCTCCTTTTTGGTACTTGAACAGACAGGTACTGTACCAGTGAGCTATAGCCTCAACCCTTTTTATTTTTAGACAGGCTCTCACTAAATTACTGCTTCAAACTTGTGATCATCTTGCCTCAGCCTCCAATGGGATTACAGGTTTGTGCCACACCATTTTCAAGTATACAGTTTAGTAGCATTTAGTACATTCATGTATTGTGCAAACATCACCTCTATCCATTTTCAAAACTTTTTCATACTATTAATAAAACTTCCATGCTTAGTAAGTAAAAACTTCCCTTTTTCCCCCCATCCTCTGTAACCTCTATTCTACTTCTTGTCCCTATGAATTTGCCTATTCTAGGTCCTTCATATAAGTGGAATCATTTAGTATTTGCCCTTTTGTATCTGAGCTATTGAACAGCATATTGTTTTCAAGGTTTGTCAATGTTGCATCAGAATTTCATTCCCTTATAAAGTCAGAGTAATATATCATTTTATGTATAATCACATTTTGTTTATTTGATATTTATCTGTTGATGAGCATCAGGGTTGTTTCCACCTTTTGGCTATTGTGACTAGGGCTACTATAAACATATATGTATAAATATCTCTGACTCCCCACTTTCAAGACTTTGGCAGTATATACCAAGAAGTTGAATTACTAGATAACATGGTGTTAGCTTCGTCTGTTTTATGTTGCTATAACAAAACATTGGAGGCTAGCTAACTTATCAAAAAAAAAAAAGCTTATTTGAGAGGCTGGGATTGTGGCTTAGTGGTTGAGTATTTGCCTAGCATGCATGAGGCACTGGGGTCGATCATCACCACCACATAAATGTAAAATAAAGGTATTGTGTCCACCTAAAACTAAAAAATAAATATTAAAAAAAGCTTATTTGCTTCATAATTCTGGTGGTTAGATGGCTCAAACAGCATGGTGTTAGTATAGCTAGCAGGGGCCCCTGGCTGCATTACGACAGAGATGTCAAAAGCAAACTGGTCTTCATGCAGAGAAGGCCAAGGTTTAGGTGGTGTCACTTTAAAACAACCCACTCTCACAAGAACTAGTCCACTCATGAGACTTGATCCACTTTCATGATAGCATTCATTCATTCGTGAGAGTGGCAGCCCTATGACCTGATTATATTCCTCTAGGCCCTACCTCCTGAAGGTTCTTCCATCTTAATACTCTTATGTTAAGGACCAAGCTTTCAGCTCATGAACTCTGGGGAATGGGCTGGGGAGTGGACTACAAACCATATCCAACCACAGAACATGGCAATTCTATTTGTAACAGTTTAAGTGCCATCAACTGGTTTCCCCACACCTACACCATTTTACATTCCTACCAGTGATGCACAAGAGCTCCAGTCTCCACATGGTTGCTAACACTTGCTCTGTACTTTTTGATAACTGCCATCCTAGTGGGTACTAAGTGGTTATTGATTCTATGAACGTTTGTTTAAGGTGGCAAGTAAGTGACAAGTCAATCAACAGGAAGTGACTGAGTATATTCCCAGTACATATTATCACAGAAATACCATGTAGCGATTGCTTCTTATTCTATATGACCATCACAAATGCTCCTTTATGCTGGCCGACCATCTAAAGGTAGCCTTCCTAATTTAGTTTTAATTATTTCCTAGTTCTTCTGATGCTAATGCTGAGCAAGGATATGCAATGAATACTTATTTTGAAAGAATGTTCAAGTAAAGCAATGTAAGGAATGGAAGAAAACAGAGAATAGTTTATTCATGTTGATATACATGTATTGTTTGGGCATATTATTTCAGAACTCAATCCTTACCATTTTCAATCTTATCTCAAGACAAACCTTCAAAGATGTTAAAACCAGTGAAGTACTGTAGTAATATTATCACTTTATTATGTTAAATTTAAAAGAAATTAATATATCTGTAATTAGTCTAAGGCTTAATTGCTGTGTACTTTCATTTTTATCACTCTTCAAAAAGACCATTTACAGTTTTCTGGCAAGCTATCATGAAAAGGGATCAAGTAAACAAAAATCCTCGCAAAAATATTGACTTACAAGCTTCCTTTTCAGTACCACTTTTCCCCAAGGAAATAAACGTGGGGACTGACTGTACTGGTAGAACTAAAAACAAAATTACGTGGCAGGTCAAAATTGAAGGTGAAATCCAAGAGTTAACTCAAAAAAATAAAATAAATTGAGTGACATGGTATCTTAAAAATTTAAAAATGCTTTTAAAAAATATTTTTTAGTTGTAGTTGGACACAATACCTTTATTTTATTCATTTATTTTTATGTGGTGCTGAGGATCGAACCCAGGGCCTCTCACATGCAAGGTGAGAGCTCTACTGCTAAGCCACAACCCCAGCCCCCAAAATTTTAAAATTTAAAAAAATGTCTAATTTCTAATGCTAATGTTGGTAATGTGAGGGTATTAAAATTTTTGATGTTTCAGTAAAAACTAATTCCAATTCAGAATATAAACGGAATGGTAGGATATTTAAATGTATGTGACCTAACCTGTTCCAGAAGTAAAGACAATGTACAGATTAATGTGACTTGAGTTAATTCAAATAATTGCATTTGTTGTCACCACAATATTAAAGTTATCTCATATTTGAACATATTAGCATTGAACTGAGAATAAAATCCATTATATAGTCATCCCTCCTTATCTGTTTCACTTTCTGCAGTTCATTACCCATGCTCAACCACTGTTCAAAATATCAAATGAAAAATTCCAGAATTCAGAAGTTGTAGATTGAGCACTGTTCTCAGTAGCATATTACATGTCCTCTCATTCCATTTGTCCACAGATGTAAATCATTGCTTTATTCAGTGTATCCATGTGGTATCCACCCATTAGTCACTTAGTAGCATCTCCAGTTACCAGAATAACTGTTGGGTATCCCAATGTTTGTGTTTAAGTAAACCTTATTTTACTTAATAATGTAAGAGTAGTGATGATGGGAACCTGGGTATGCCAAAGCAAAGCTGTAGGTGAAAGTTCTCAAGTTAGTAGAAAAAAAAAAAAATTATACACTGAGGTTGCTGTGCTCTACAGTAGATCATTGTAATCTCTTATGGCACTTAAATTTAAAAATTAAACTTTTATGTTAGCTATGTAGAGGAAAATCCTAACACGTATAGATGTTAAGCATCATTCAGAGTTTCAGGCATTGACTGGGGGTTTTAGAATGTATCCCCCAGAAATAAGGGAGAATTCTATCATATGTACTTCATGTACAGCTTCTTTACCCTTCCATTTTTTTTTTTTTTTTGTACCAAGAATTGAACCAGAGGCACTTAACCACTGAGCAACATCCCCAGTCCTTTTTGACTTTTTAATTTTGAGACAGGGTCTTACTAAATTGCTTAGGGCCTAAATTGCTGAGCCTGGCCTCAAAATTGTGATCCTCCTGTCTCAGCTTCCTGAGTTCCTGAGATTACAGGCATGCACTACCACACCTGGTACCACCTTCCTGCTTAAGAAAATAGTAGAAACAATAGAATGAATACATACATTACCACAACTCAGAATTAACTAACATTAGTCAGGGGAGGTGGTACACGCCTGAGCAGCTAGGCTGGCTGAGGCAGAATTTTGAGTTCAAAGCCAGGGTCAGCAACTCAGTGAGAGCCTGTCTTTAAATAAAATAAGGCTGGGGATGTGGCTCAGTGGTTGAGAGCCCTGGAGTTCAATCCCCAGTAGCCACCCCAGCAACAAAAAAAAGAACTAACATTTTGTTCCATTTACTTAGAATCTTTCTTTTTAATGGGAAATAGATTATTTTGATACACAACTAAATTGTTCTTTATTATGCTGGTCGCATTTCCTTTCCATTTTCCTTTCTGCTAGAGGCAACCATTTTTGGGGGCTGTTTATATATCCTTCTGATTCGTTTTTAAAGAATTTTTTTTGTAGTTGTAGATGGACAGTATACTTTATTTGTGAAATATATATATATATATAATATATATATATATATATATATATATATATATATATATATATATATTATATATGGTGCTAGGGATTGAACCCAGTGCCTCACACATGGTAGGAAAGTACTTTGCTACGGAGGTACAGCCCCAGCCCCTTATTTATTTCTGGGGCTGGAGATGTGGCTCAAGCGGTAGCGTGTTCGACTGGCATGCGTGCGGCCCGGGTTCGATCCTCAGCACCACATACAAACAAAGATGTTGTGTCCACCGAAAACTGAAAAATAAATATTAAAAAATTCTCTCTTTAAAAAAAATATTTTATTTATTTCTGTGCTCTTGGGGATCTAACCCAGGCTTTTGTACATAATAGGCAAGTACTCTATCACTGACCTCTCTAGCTCCAATTCACTCTTAATAGTTTGTTTATACAAACCTGGGTATGATGGTGACTCATGCCTATAATCCCAGCAGCGGAGAAAGCTTAGCCAGGAGGATTCAAAGTCAGCCTCAGCACTTTAGTGAGGCCCTAAGCAACTTAGCAAGACCATATCTCAAAATACAGAAAAGGGCTGGGGATATGACTCAGTAGTTAAATGCCCCTTGGATCAATTCCTGGTACAGGAAAAAAAAAGTTTCACAAAAAAGCATTTATCTATAACCAACGCTTAAGGTACAGGGGTTGGTTAGTGTTGATTTTATTTAGATTCACAAGGGTATCTCTACAATATATTCATCACTTCAGTTTTCTTCATTCTGTATGATTTTTCATATCTTTCACTGTTAATATACATACAAATTTAATTTGTACTTGACTGCTAGAGAGTATTCTACTCTATGACTATCACATTTTATATATCTATTTCACAAGCAACAGACATCTGTTTCCGATTTCTGGCTACCATTTTTCATGCTGCAATGAACAGACACATTATATTCCCTGTGTACATGTGTTAGTGTTTTGGGTATATGTATATATATTTAAAAGTAGAATTGTTGATTCTTCTGGAATATAATTTAGAAATTCTTTCCTACCCTAAGGTTTTAAAAACACTCTTGTATAAAATTTATATTATTGTTTTGCTTTTTGCATTCCAGCATTCAATAATTTTGGATTTCATAATAAATAAATATTTTAATGAATAATGACAGAGGTCGCTTCTTTTTCCAAATGAAGAAATCAATTACCCTGAGATCATTTTTAAAATAATCCCTAAATTTGGGATGCCACCATTATGAATGACCAATTACCCACAAATTCAGGCTTAATGGATTCAGTACTCTGCCCCAACCTCAATTTTCTACAACTGCATCAACACCAAATACTTTGATGATTAGTTTTACAAAGTACACATATAGCAAAGCACATAACAAAAAAATAATTGTCTCTCAATTTCAAGTCCTTTTCTCTCATATAGTTGTCTTAATGTATCTCATAGGACTCCCAGAAACGTGCTAGTTGGTCTCCATAACTGGATTCTAACTCAACAAGAATGCTCATAAAAGTACAATAATATTTATTGTGGAAGCTTTTTGCCCTGGCTACTTCTTATTAAACATCTTTGTATTTTGAGTTGCTGCAGGATTTCCCACATTTTGTGTCACTTTAATGTAAAATGAGTTTTTTGATATTATTAAGTATAAATTCTGATGGAGTTTTTTCTATATCCAAGGCCTTCATAGAGCTTTAATGAGTATGAATTCTCTGGTGTCTAATGTGATGTGACTTCTGGCTGAAAGATTTCCCACATTCGCTACATTGATAAGGTTTTTCACCAGTATGGATTCGCATGTGTAGAGCAAGAGTTGAGAACTGAGAAAAGGCTTTCCCACATTCATTGCAACCATAGGGTTTCTCACCTGTGTGGCTTCTCATATGTACAGTAAGAGATGAGCTTTGACAGAAGGCTTTCCCACATATTTTACATTCATATGGTTTATCACCTGTATGGATTCTCACATGTACAATAAGTGATGTGATTCGAGAAAAGGCTTTTCCACATTTATTACATTCATAGGGTTTCTCTCCCGTATGAATATTGTGATGTTTAATGAGGTATTGCTTCTGCCTGAAGATTGTTCCACATTCATTACATTTATAGGGTTTCTCTCCAATATGAATTTTCTCATGCTCAGTGAGATTTGATTTGCCACTGAAGGCTTTTCCACATTCCTTACAACTGTATGGTTTCTCTCCGGTATGACTTCTCTGGTGTCTAATGAGGCTTGACTTCTGAATGAAAGCTTTCCCACACCCTTTACATTCATAAGGTTTCTCTCCAGTATGTATTCTCTGATGGATAATGAGGTTTTCCTTCTGGCTAAAGGCTTTCCCACACTCATTACATTTAAAGGGTTTCTTTCCACTATGGATGTTCTGATGTTTAATGAGGTACTGCTTCTGGCTGAAGGCCCTTCCACATTGATTACATTCAAAAGGTTTTTCTCCAGTATGAATTTTCTCATGCTCACTGAGATATGATTTTCCATTAAAAGCTTTGCCACATTCCTTACATGCATATGGTTTGTTTCCTGAATGATTTCTCTGGTGTTTAATGAGGATTGGCATCTTAATAGAAGTTTTCCCACTTTCATAAGATTTCTCTCCAGTATGATGTTTCTGATGAGAAAGGAAGTTTCTCTTTTGGCCAAAGGCTTTTCCACACTTATTACACTTATAGGATTTCTTTCCTGTATGACTTTTCAAATGTAGAGTAAGTGATGAGACCCGAGAGAACACTTTACCACATTCAGTACATTCATGTGATTTTTCTCCAGTATGCATGTTCCTTTGCTCTATCAAGTTTTCTTTCAGGCTAAAGTTTTTTTTACACTCGTAAGGTTTCTGATCAGTATGAATTTCATCATGCTGAAGTAGATCTGAATCAGGCTGAAGACTTTCCAACATTCCTGTCATGCACAGGACAATTCTCCTAGGTTTCCCTTTTTCCTTGTAGCTACTGAAATGCAGTAAGGATGAAAGCTTTTCCACGTTTCACTAAACTTGTGTGATTTCTTTTCAGTATGCTCAGGTATCTAACAAATTTGAGCTAATGATGGGAGATTTTTCTCACACTGATATATCCTGAGATGAGATGATTATAAAAAGGAATGAGATATAGCAATCTCTTTGTATTAATGGTTCTTTCTTTTTTTTTTTTAGTTTTAGGAGGATACCATATTTTTATTTTATTTTTATGTGTTGCTGAGGATTGAACCCAGTGCCTCATGCATGCTAGGCAAGCACTCTACAACTGAGCCACAACCCTAAGTCAATGGTTCTTTCTTATACTGCTTCTTGCATATTTAAGCATAAATTATGTTTCAAATTCTTAAACTGAGTCCCATACACAGAAGTGTAGTCTTGAAGAATCAATGCTGTGCTCCAAGGAAATACTATTTTGTTTCCTCAGTCTATATTTTCACAGAGAACAATGAGACTTCACTCTCAAGTCTTTCACGTTGTATCTTTATTTGTTTATAAACTTCTCAGGTTTATTCTAAAAAAAAAAAAAAAAAAATCATCATGGAAAAACAGTTAACAAGTGCCTGTGCCTGGCATGTAGTAAGCATCTAATAAATTAGCTTATCATTATCAACAACATCACTAACTAGGTAAATTGCTTTTCAAAGTGAAAGCATAGTGAATTTTCCCACAATCATTAATATAATTTTAGAAAAGTGCTTTTAAAATAGACTATTCCAGAGTAGTCATCAGTATAAAAGTTCAAACACATATAACATTCATAGGTATATACATCTTTACTTTTAAATGTAACCCTACACACACCATGAACAGTAAAATAAGAGAAAATGTAAAAACTAGGCTTATAATGAAGGGCAAATAGAAGATTGGAAGAATGTAGGATAAGAGCAAAACATAAAATGAACAGAGAGAATATAAATAAGGCATTTATTTCTACATCTTAATGAAATTCCACTAAAATTAAAAAAAAAAAAGGTGAAGGTAGGCAAATACAAAAACTAAAAGCTTGAGACCCCGAAGTGAACAAAGTATTGGGGAATTCTAGAAGGAAAGGAAATGGAGAACTACAACTCAAGGGGACGAGTAAATGTTTACATATAGAATAGGCTGGATTCCCACAACGTTGGTGGTTGCCAGGTATCTACAGATGAATGGATTCTTTTCTGAAAAAAGGATAATCCAAGGTTGGGGTTATGGCTCAGCAGTAGAGTGTTTGCCTAGCATGCATGAGGCACTGGGTTCGACCCTCAGCAACACATAAAAAATAAATAAAATAGGGGCTGAAGTTGTGGCTCAGCTGTAGAGTGCTTGCCTAGCATGTGTGAGATGACACTGGGTTCGATTCTCAGTACCATATATAAATAAGTAAATAAAATAAAGGTCTATCAACAACTAAAAAAGGGCTGGGGATGTGGCTCAAGCGGTAGCACGCTCACCTGGCATGCGTGAGGCCTGGGTTCGATCCTCAGCACCACATACAAACAAAGATGTTGTGTCCGCCAAAAACTAAAAAATAAATATTAAAAAATTCTCTCTCTCTCCTCTCTCTCTCTTAAAAAAAAAAAAAAAAAAAAAACTCTCTCCTCTCTGTCTTAAAAAAAAAACCAACTAAAAAAATATTCAAAAATAAGTAAATAAAAAAAAAATAAAGGCATTAAGTCCAACTACAACTAATGAAACCCCAACAAAATAATTTAAAAAGAAGAATCATCCATGAGAATACTTATAGACACTATCTGGAGAAAAAAAAAAAAAAAAATATATATATATATATATAAATAAACCCTAGAGGGATTGGGGGTTTGTGGCTCAGGGGTAGAGCACTTGCCTAGCATGTGTGGGGCCCTGGGTTTGATTCTCAGCATCACATATAAATAAATGAATAAAATAAAGGTCCATCAATGTCTAAAAAATATAAAATTTTTTTTAATAATTTTATTTTTTAATTTATTTTTATGTGATGCTGAGGATCAAACCCAGGGCCCCGCATGTGCTAGGCAAACGTTCTACCACTGAGCCACAATCTCAGCCCCCTGGGGGGAAAAGTTATTTTAAATTAAAAAAACAAAAACAAAAAACAACACCTAGATTCCTAACTGATTGCTGCACAGTGAAGCTCACAATATAATTGGGCTATGTAGCTCAGTGACAGAGCTCTTGCCTAGCATGCATGAGGCCCTGGATTCAGTCCTCAATACTGAAAAAATTAAACATTACAATTCATATCACAAAAAGCCAAGAGAAGCAAAAGAAGATTATTATAGCAATGAAATATTAACAGGGTTCTAAAAAGAAGTGCCTTTGGAAATTAACTTTAAAAGTTTAATGCATTGGAAAAAAAAAAAAAAAAGCTTAGGAAATCTCCTGGAATAAAAAGAGAAAGAATGGAAGAAAAGGCAGAAAGTAATAGGGATAGATAGACATGAGTGATGGGAGCATGATATGAGGTTAAGGGAATAATTCTACAAACTGGGCCCACTGTGCTGACCCCGCCCCCAAATATTTTTGCTTTTTTGGTGATGGGGGGAGTACTGGGAAATGAACCAAGGGACACTTTATCACTAAAGCTTCATCTCCAGGCCCCACCTGTTGCATTTGAGACAGGGTCTTGAGAAATTGCTTAGGTTCTCATTCAGTTGTCAAGGCTGGCTTTGAACTTGACAATCTCTTTGCCTCAGTCTCTCCAGCTGCTGGGATTACAGGTGTGCACCACCCATGCCTGGCTATGCTTTCACTTTGAAAAGCAATTTACCTACAGCCCTGTCTAGCTTAAGTGGGCAGGATATGTTAACTCTGGGGAGCCTTTTTATTGTGAGAGGAGGGAGAAAATACTTGGGATTGAACCCAGGGGCACTTTACAACTGAGCTGTATACACAGCCCCCCCCCCCTTTTTTTTACTTTTTATTTTGAGATAGAGTTTCACTAAATTGCTTAGGGCCTCTTTGCTGAGGCTGGCCTCAAACTAACAATCCTTCTGCCTTAGCCTTCTGAGTTGCTGTGATTACAGGTGTGCACCACCACACCCAGCTCCCTTTCCTATCCCTTCTAAAGAACCCTGCCTGTTACACTGCTTGATATGTCTGAAATCTTTCTGGCATACTTGCAAAAATCAAGGTTTGAAGAGGGGCCATTACACTGCCTCAACTTCATGGAAGGCCCAGCTCTGTAATGAAAGGAATAAAGAGAGTAATGATTGGATGGTCCAACAACTACTAAGAGTAGAAAGGACATTTGAACAAAAATGAATGCAGGGGGCTGGGATTGTGGCTCAGTGGTAGAGCGCTTGCCTAGCATGTATAAGACACTGGGTTCAATTCTCAGCACTACATATAAATAAAATAAAATAAAGGTATTGTGTCCATCTATAATTAAAAAAAAATTTAAATGAATGCAGGAAATTTTCAAAGAATACAAGAAAATCTTTCAGAATTACAGATTGAATCTATGTATTGAACAGGCCCACTAAGTACAAAGAACATTCCATTTAAAAGGAATCTACCTTGGCTGGGCACTGTAATCCCAGTTGACTTTAAAGCTCCTACTCATTATACCTACAGAGTTGGACTTGAAGACCTTGAAATTGAACCCATCTATAACTGTATATCTAGAGACTGTGCTTTTTTTTTTATGTAGTTGCAATTTGAGGCTCACATGTGCTAATCAACATAGTATATATATAATTAATGATCTACCCTCACCAAAGAAATAGACCCAAAAAACTATTTTTGCATTTAAACCTGGTTACTATAGTGTTTTAATTATCAATATTATCATTTCTGTGTAAAAACTGTCATTAGCATCAATTTCTGTTTTCATCTGTTTGCTTTCAGCAGGCCTGATATACGGATACCCAACTCTTCTGTAAAGAGCCTTTTTCTTGCTCTCTCCCAAAACATTTGTTTTTCATTCTTCAACATCATCCCGATCTTTCTGTCAGAATTTTATGCTTATTTTCTCATGAACCATATTAAGAACTGAGTCTGGTAAATGCACTTTCACTCATATTAATGCTTTAACTTTCATAATTTAGAGAAAAAAATGGCCTCAACCCATTCACATATCATAAGTGAAAATTCATTTAAAACAAATCATGGATCTAAAACACTACAACTATTAAAGTAAAAGAAAAAAAATGATAGATTTCATCAAAAGTTCAAAACTAATGCTCCTGAATTACAAGCAACAATAAATGTTGGCGAGGACATGGGGAAAAAGGTACACTCATACATTGGTGGTGGGACTGCAAATTGGTGCAACCACTATGGAAAGCAATATGGAGATTCCTAAGAAAACTTGGAATGGAACCACCATTTGACCCACTCCTAGGTTTATACCCAAAGGACTTAAAATCAGCATACTATAGTGAGGCAGCCACATCAATGTTTATAGCAGCTCAATTCACAATAGCTAAACTATGGAACCAACCTATGGTGCCTTTTAACAGATGAATGGATAAAGAAACTGAAGTATAGGGCTGGGGTTGTGGTTCAGTAGTAGAGTACTCGCCTAACCTGTGTAAGGCCCTGGGTTCAATCCTCAGCACTACATAAAAATAAACAAAATAAAGGCAATGTGTCCAACTACAACTAAAAAATAAATATCACCCCCCCAAAACCTGAGGTATATATACACAATAGAATATTATTCAGCCTTGAAGAATGAAATTATAGCATTTGCTGGTAAACGGATAGAACTGGAGAATATTATACTAAGCGATATAAGCCAATCCCAAGAACCAAAAGCTAAATGTTTTCTCTGATATGCAGATGCTAATTCACAATGGGGGCAGGGAAGAACAGAGGTATTTTGGTCTAATTCAGAGCTAAATGAAGGGAGGGGCAGAGGTATGGGGGTAGGAATGATAGTAGAATGAATTGGACATTATTACCCTAATGCATATACGATTACACGACCTGTACAACTCTACATCGTGTACAACCAGACGAATAAGAAATTACACTCCAGGCTGGGGATGTGGCTCAAGCGGTAGCGTGCTCGCCTGGCATGCGCAGGGCACTAGGTTCGATCCTCAGCGCCACATAAAAAAAAAAAAAAAGTAAAACTAAAGATGTTGTGTCCACCGAAAACTAAAAAGAATAAATAAATATTAAAAAAATTCTCTCTCTCCCTCTCAAAAAAGTTACACTCCATTTATGTACTATGAATCAAAATGCACTCTACTGTCATGTATAACTAATTAGAACAAATAAAAGAAAAAGATGGAAGAACATTACAAAACAACAACAACAAAACTAATGCTCCTCAAAAACAATGAAGAAAATGAAAGGGCAAGCCATAAGTTGGGAAAACTTTAATCTTGAAAAATACACAAACCAACCCTGGCTGGCTGCATGGAGGAAGGGGAGCAAAGCGATAAACAAAATTTAAAAGAATTTACAAAAAGAAAGCCTGCACTGCAGAACATTCTCAGCCAAATATTCCATGAGGAGGAAATGAAAAACAATGAGGAACAAAAACCACAAATGGTAGCAACACCATTACACCCTGTTAAAAAAATAATAATAATGGAGAAAACAATTTCTCTCAATTTATGAAATCAAATGTATAAGAACATATAAAAAATAAGAATATAAAGAAAAATAAGCCAAGTCCAATGGTTCATGCCTATAATCCCAGTGATCTGGGAGGCTGAGTCAAGCAGGAGGATTGCAAGTCTGAGGTCAGCTTGGGCAACTCAGGGAGACCCTGTATTAAAATACAATAAAAAGGGCTTATGGACTAGGTCAATTCTAAAAAAGGACAGGCAAAATACTCTGACTAAAAAAGTAACAGCAATTACAAAACAAAAATTAAAACTTTTTTTTTTTTTAAAGATCTAATGATTTAAGCCAGGGGCAGTCACATGTACCTTAAATCCCAACAATCTGGGAAGCTGAGACAAGAGGACGTTAAATTCAAAACCAGCCTCAGCGACTTAACTAGAACCTCAGCAATGTAGAGGGACCCTATCTCAAATAAAAGTAAGTTTGGGCTGTGGTTGTAGCTCAGTGCTAGAGCACTTGTCTAGCAAGTATGAGGCACTAGGTTCAATTCTTAGCACTATATATAAATTTAAAAGAAAAAGAAAAAAAGAGTTTAACAAACTCTTTGGCTAAAAAGGATATTTTAATAAACTTCAAAATAAAGACAAATATTACTCATGAAAACAAAGTACAGTAGAAACTATGGAACATATTTGAGCAAATGCTTAGAGAAGAACCTTTAGAATAAATCTTTCCAATATTTAAAGAAGAAATAACAACAAAAAGAAAATTAACAAAAAGAAATTTTAAAAAATTCATGAGTTGATTCTTCGGGAAAAATTTAAAAAGGAATAAAAGAATAAAAGAGAAAAAAAAATAAAAGCAAAAACCTAGTAAAAATTACCTCTAAAACTGAAAATGTAAACAAAAAGAAAAAGAAAGAACAGAGACAATTATATTTCATTAACCCTAAGGCAGAGATGACTTAACATGTGAATTTCACTAAAATTTTTTTTTAACTTTTATTTTATTTTTTTTACATAATTTATTTATTTATTTTTTAACCATACGATTTATTTTTATTTTTTTTTAGTCATACATGACAGCAGAATGTATTTTGACATATAATACATACATGGAATGTACATACATCAATCATGTTGTCTATTCTATTCTGCTGCCCTTCCTATCCTCCCGACTCCTCCCCTTCTCTCCCATCCTTTCTCTCTATCCAATCTAATGTGACACACTTTTTTTTTTCTTTTTCTCATTACAACATCATATATGTATTCTGTATAACAATGAGGTTCTCCTTCCATCTTCCATGCAACTCCCCTTCTCCCTCTTTTTCCCTCCCACCTCTCTTCCCTATTTAGTGGTAGTCTTCTTCTCATGCTCTTCCTCCCTATCCCATTTTGAGTCACCCCCCCCCTTATATCAGAGAAGACATTCGGCATTTGTTTTTTAGGGATTGGCTAACTTCACTTAGCATAATCTGCTCTAATGCCATCCATTTGCCTGCAAATGCCATGATCTTGTTATTTTTTAGTGCTGAGTAATATTCCATTGTGTATAAATGCCACATTTTTTAATCCATTCATCTATTGAAGGGCATCTAGGTTGGTTCCACATTCTAGCTATTGTGAATTATGCTGCTATAAACATTGATGTGGCTGTGTCCCTGTAGTATGCTCTTTTTAGGTCTTTTGGGTATAGTCCAAGAAGGGGAATAGCTGGGTCAAATGGTGGTTCCATTCCCAGCTTTCCAAGGAATCTCCATACTGCTTTCCAAATTGGCTGCACCAATTTGCAGTCCCACCAGCAACTTTTATTTTTTAGTTGTGGATGGACACAATACCTTTATTTTATTTTTTCATGGTGCTGAGGATCGAACCCAGTAACTCATGCATGCTAGACAAGCGCTCTACCTATGAGCCACAATCAATTCCTTCACTAAAGTTTTAATAGATAGTAATAATATTACTATTGATTTTAAATTTCCCAAGTTACTTTTTTTTGAGGGGCAGGGCTGTGCTGGGAATTAACCCACAGGTGCTCTATCACTGAGCTACATTACCCCAGCCATTTTTATTTTGAGACAGGATCTCATAGCTGGCTTAGAACTTACAATCATCCTCCTACCTCAGCCTCCCAAATATCTAATTACTTAATGTGGGAAAATATGATATACAACAGATCAGGGCTTAATGTACTATATTCCTAATAAGAAAATAAAAGATTACTTATCCTTTGTAATTAAAGCCCCTCATATTGTTATAGGCATTACAATCAACATCCTTCACACACACATTAGAACTGAATTTTTCACACTGTAAGTAACAAGGCTGAAGTAGCTAACATTATCTGAGTACCAGGTAAAATGGTCCTTTCAACAGTATTTTTCTTCTGGTTTAAAAAATATTTTCAAAATATCAATTAAAATGCTCTAAAGGAAAACAAACTCTTCATTGTATCCTGTGTAAATGATGACCTATTAAAATGGGTTGGGGAAGAAACCACACTACCTATTTTATAAAGAGTTTTACTAGAACATACCCAAATTCATTCATTTTCTTATTGTCTATGACTACTTCAGTGCTACAATGCCTGAGCTGGGTAGTTTTAACAGTAACCCCATGGCTTACAAAGTCTAAAACACTTATTGTCTGGCTCTTTATAGAAAGTTTGCTATCTCCCTGTTCTCAGTGTGTCCTCTCTTTTCCAACTGTCACTGTTGCCAGGCACGGTTGTGCACGCCTGTAATCCCAGCAGCTTGGGAGGATGAGGAAGGAGGACTGTAAATTCAAAGTCAGCCTCAGCAAGTTAGAGAGGCCCTAAGCAACTCTGTGAGACCCTGTCTCTAAAATATAAAAAGGGATGGGGATATAGCTCAGTGGTTAAGTGCCCCTGGGTTCAATCCTCAGTACCAAAAAAACCCCCAAAACAATAATAAACAAAAACAAACAAATGGCATTGTTAAAACAGCTCTAATCACAATTATTCACTAGGCAACCTAGAAGGACCCCTAATCCTTAAAGGACCTCAAAGACCAAAGATACCATACAAATCTGTACAACTTACCACATGACTGTTATATGACAAGAAATCAACTCCTGCATTCCTTAAACTAGTATAGTTAAGGTTCATTGTAGTCACTTAGCTTTACATAATTAGTACACTTATTAGTCCTGTCTCACTGCTTTACCCACCATGTCTCAGAGATGCCTAACAAATGTTAATTAGTGATCTGTACCTCTCTTTAACAACTGATTCACATATTTAACTCCTTCTCAACATCTCTATTTGGATGTCTACTAGGTATTTAGTTTACTTCCCCGAACCAATTGCTCCTGAATTCTTCTATCTTTAAATAGCAACCTAATCTCCCAGTTTCTCAGGCATACTTCTCTTTTTCTCAGATCACACACTCATTATACTATCATTTCTTTTTGACTGTATCTTCAAAATATGTCCCAAATCTGGCCATGTCTCACCTCCTTGTTGGGACCACCAAGGCCTAAGCCACATTATATCTTGTCTAGATTATTTACTAGGTTCCTCATTGGTCTTGCTACTTTTGCTTTTATGTCTTCACAATTCTCAACAGAGCAGTCACAGTAATATTGTCACAATAAATCAGGTCACTCACTGCTCTACCTAGAAGCCTTCTTCTATACTTACAGAGAATCGAGGGGCTATAAATAAGGAGACATACTCTGAACTTCCTATCAAGTGTATGTATTAAATTTTAAGAATTATATTATTTCTTCTTAAAAGTAGCAGAGAAATGATCTAGTAGGATTAGTAATAAGTTCCAAAGTTGTAATATTATTAAAAGTCAAGAAGCAAGGAAATGTTAAACTATAATGACTCCAAGTAGGAAGACAAAAGGAAATGAAACTAATGGGATAAAATTCAATTCTGAGGCATTGAACAGTGAAAGGAGGACAAAAAGACAGCAGTTAAATTGTAAAGAAAAGTATCTACACACTAGTTTTTATTAAAAATATTTTTAGTTGTAGATGGACACAATAACTTTTTATTTTTTTAATATTTATTTTTTAGTTATAGTTGGACACAACATCTCTATTTTATTTATTTTTATGTGGTGCTGAGGATTGAACCCAGAGCCTCGCATGTGCTAGGCGAGTGCTCTACCACTGAGCCACAAACCAGCCCTACACACTAGTTTTTGAAGAACTGAATGCTTAAGGAAATGAGTCTAAGTAACCAAAGAAAAGTGAAAAATGGAGAGTGTCAGTGAAAGGAGAACAAGTATGACAGAGGCTATAAAACTCAAGAAAATTGGCCGCGGGTGGTGGTGCACGCTTGTAATCCCAGTGGCTGGAGAGGCTGAGACAGGAGGATTGTGAGTTCAAAGCCAGACTTGAGGCACTAAGCAACTAAATGAGACCCTGTCTCTAAATAAAAATACAAAATGAGGCTGGGGATGTGGCTCAGTGGTCGAGTGCCCCTGAATTCAATAACAACAACAAAAAAAATCATAAAACTAAGGCTATAATTGAGAGACTAGTCTCTAAATTAGAGGTTAGAGAGGCAACAAATCTTCTAGAATCCGAGCAAAAGGAAGCAAAGAATCTGGAAACCCTCCCTGAATAACTATAATGAGCCTTTATCTGATTCATAACTGCCAGGTTCTCACTCACCTAGAGAACTCTTTATATTTCTTCTCGATCATCCATTGATCTTTTTGTTTTAACTGGTGACTTTAAACTTGTAAAGAGACAAAGTGACACAGAATCTGCGATTATGGTTGGGAGTCAAAGCAGCATGCTAGAATTCAAGCTGAGTTCTTAAAATCCTCAAAGGTTTTCAAAGATAAAGAGAATGCAGCTCCTGGAGATTCATGAAATATCTGGCCTGCAATAGATAACAAGGTTACTATGGTTTGGCTATGAAGTGACCACTCCCCCCAATAAGCCCTTGTGATAGACAATGCAGAAATGTTCAGAGGTAAAATGATTAGATTATGAGAGCTGTAGCCTAATCAGTGAATTAATCCACTCAATGGATTAATAACTTGAAAGGATTACTATACTGGGTAGTTAACTGTAGGCATGTGGGATGTGGCTGGAAGAGATAGGTCACTGGTAGACTGTCCTTAGGGATTATATTTTTCACTCACGGCTCCTCATGCCCTGTTTCCTAGGTGCCAAGGGCAGAGCAGGATTTCCTCTACCATGCCCTTCCCCCATGATGTTCTACCTCACCGTGGGCCCAGATCATTAGAATAAGGCCACCATGAACTGAACCTTTGAAACCATGAACTAAAATAAAACTTCTCCTCCTCTAAGTTATTCTTGTCAAATATTTTAGTCACAGCAATGAAAGCTGACTAACACATTATGATAAGGCTTGGGCACGTATACATATTAAAAGTACTTATAATTTCCATCTCAGGCTAAACCCATTATTCCATTTTAAAAAGTTCCACATATGCTGGGTGTGATGGCACATGCCTGCAATCCAGCTACTTGGGAGGACGAACCTGGAAGATAACAAGTTAAAGGCCAGTATGGGCAATTTAGGGAGTCCCTGTCTCAAAAAATAAAAAGGGCTGGGGGTATGGTAGTGCACATCTATAATCCCAGCGACTTAGGAGGATTCCAAGTCAGGATTCGCAACTCAGCGAGACCTTCAGCAATTTAGACATTATTTCAAAATAAAAAGTAAAAAAGTCTGGATATGTAGCTCAGTGATAAGCACCCCTGGTTCAATCCCTAGTTGTATAATATAAAACAAGGCTCTACATATTTCAGATATGGAAAACAGAAGATAACTTATTTTCAGAAACTATGAGTCTGAGTTATCATAGTCTTCAGAATCACAACCTCAACAGGTTTTTAAAAAAATATACATATTTTTAGTTATAAATGGACACAATACCTTTATTTATTTATTTATTTATTTATTATGTGGTTCTGAGGATCAAACCCAGTGCCCCACATGTGCTACGCAAGCACTCTACCACTGAGCTACAGCCCTCTCAACAAGTTTTATTAAGCAGATATCACCCCAGGCCTTGCTCTTGATTGAAATCAAATTTTTGGGTACCATTAACAACATTTCTCTTATAAATGTGAAGTCATCAACCTTGAGCAATATGGACAAAATATTAAGGAAATTATTCTGATAGTATTCATAGCTCAGAGCTCTTAAAAATTTTAGAGGCCTAAGTTTTATTAGGTTAGTTTACCCTAGGAGAAATTAAATGTAGTAAGTGTCCCATAATTATATGCCCATTCACTGATTCAGCAAATACATTTATCTAGTATATGTTATGAAGAAAACTTGATTTTCAGTTTTTAATGGGTTATGATGGAGAAAAAGGTCAAACTTACTCAGAGGCTTTTCTCCTACTCAGATGGTGAGAGCCTTAAAACCTGGCTTGACAGTGCTATGAGTGCTGAAACAGAGAATACAAAAGGGAGAATGAATGGAGGCAGATTGTAAGAGGCAGATATCAGTAAAATATTTTGGATGTAAAGACTCTGAAATTCCTGTGCATAAAAATGGACCCCTAATACTGGAATTGTTGCTGCTGATTGAGTACTTTGAGGTGAAAAAGATGACCAAGGCCAAAAATGTAGGAACACCAATAACAGATGGACAAGGAGAAATAAGACCTGCCTTCTTTATAGCTTTTACTAGTTTTTTAATATTTCAAAACTATTGTTTCTTTAAGAGTTTTTGTACCCTGGTACTTTTTCATTTAATTGAGACTATAGGTAGAAGAAAATTTGTTTCACTACATTTACATAGGTCATTTGGTATGGGGAAAAACTGGTTAGGACTCAAGACTTCCCTGCCCTTTGTGACAAACTAGGGAGTCTTAAACAGGTTCCTTGACCTTTCTTCACTAAAGGCAGGACAACTAGCTTTCCAATTCTGTGCTGTGCAAACTACCTTTTAAAGCTATTCCTTAATTCAAGACTTCTCAAAGCAGGTCTACCAAAGTTTCTCCAAAGTATTAAGAAATTCTTACTAGGAATCTAAGCACCCAACAGCACATTATTCTGAAATATTTTTTTCTTTTTTAAAAAGGTAATGTTGATTTCATCTTCTACTCCACAATGGGTCTGTTTTTATATGACACTTTTAAAATTACCAACTTAGTTCCTTAGCCCTTTCCCTTTCTTATTTTCCAGAAAAGCGCACCTTTATTGTTTTAGAAACGAGAATAGGGAGGATTAGCGGTTAATTTTCATCCTCACGAACTTGGAACTATTTCCAACTCTGCAACCCCAAACTAACCCTCACACCCTTGGTCACCCACCCTCAAATACATCCCAGATTCCTCCAGCCCCCCCTGCCCCCATCCGCAAAAGCTCTGAACTCAGCAAGTCACAGGAGGCGACATCTGTCACTTCAGCCTCCCCAGACCCTTCGCAGGCGCTGCGAACCCTCCCCTAAAGCCTCCCTGGCCGGGTTCAGGACTTAGAAACCCAGGTCCTACCAGGCCGAAACCAAACTCACCAGCAGACAAAGACGACGATGGCGAGCCAGAAGTTCTGCGCCTGCGCACTCCTGAGGCGGGTTAGCGTTCCCAGAGGGCCCCTGGGCTCCGCCACGCCGGGCTCTGAACCCGCCAGGACCAACCGATTTTGGCGGGTCGTCTGCCTTTTTTTTTTTTTTTTAACCGTGGATTACATTTCCCATTAGTTTCGGTGGTTCGAGTAGCCTTTTCCGCGAACTCTTTCTGCCAGAGCTTGTGGGACTGTCTCCCCGGTGGCGGGGTGTAAGCAGACCGAGTCTCAGGACTCAGCTAATTCTACCTGCGTTTACGTCCGGGAGAGGGCAGTGGTGTCCCAACAATAAGCGCAGCTCGGACAGGGTGGCCCAACATTAAGAAGGGGCTCCTGGGGTCTTCCAGGCGCAGTTCGGTGATGTAGCAACTCCCTGGACGGCTCGAGCCTGGCGCCCTCACGTCTTTCGCGGCGCGGCTCCGAACTACATTTCCCAGAGGGCGCTGGGCCCTTGGCCCCTGCCCCTCCTCGCGCGAGCCTTAGTGTCTGAACCGTTCTCTGCAGTTGCAAGCCGACGCGTTCCTGGGGAGGCCAAAGATGGCGTTTACAGCCCGGGGCGGGGATTTAGAACGAGCCTTAAAGCCTGTTGGGTGAATGCGAGACGAGCTGTTGTGAAGTGGTGTGATACTTATTTATTTATTTATTTTCCCCCAGCGTGGCTGTAACACCCTTTGTGCGGATGTGAGAAGTATTATGTGGGCGTGCTTTAAGTCCCTTTGGTATGCTTGTAAATGTGTGGCCGTATGTAACGCTGTACCTATAGGTGTGCGATAACTGGAAAGCGACTGTGTGCGCCCGCGCGCACGATTGATTGCGCCTCTTTGTGGGAAGGAATAAGGAGGGAGCTTTGTGACGCTGTGGCTGTGACTGTGTCTGTGGGCATAGTGACGGCAGCATTGCGTGGGAGATGCATACGTGGGAGCACATGACCGCTCGGCCCCTCGACAGTAAAGGAGCACTTTTCTGTGACGCCAAGTTTGAGTAGACGCCCTAGTCCACTACTAATAGCCCTCCCACGGTGAGGGGCAGGCTAACTAAGCTCTAAACTTGCCGTGAGCTGAGACTCAGGAAGGTTTGTACCTTGTTTCGTTTCCTATTTCTGTCCTCCAACAGAGGTGCCCAGGGGCTGGGGATGTAGCTCAAGTGGTAGCGCGCTCGCCTAGCATGCGTGAGGCACTGGATTTGATTCTCAGCACCACATAAAAACAAAATAGATATTGTGTCCACCTAAAACTAAAAAATAAATATTAAAAAAAGAGGTATCCAGAGGGGGAGGAAATAATGGTTTTTAACATCTGAAACTTGTGTGTTATGTTGTTTAATGTTTTCCTTTTATTCCTGAGATGCTTCATTTATTCAGGACATTTTCTTTTTCTTTCTTAGAAATGTCTAAGACAGACCTATCAAGTAAGCTGGAATCTACTCTTTGGAAATATCTTCCTTGTACTCCCAAATTTTCTCCTATTAATGTGGCATATGTTTCAGTATATCTATGCTATTTTCTTTTTACGTATATACACAAACATGCACATGTATGTAAATATAGGTACATATATGTATAATGTTTTCATCTGAATCAGTTACTTTTGTCACATATGTGGCCAATCCAATATCCATTCCCTCTTCTTTATTGCTAAAAAAGTCCTGACCTTGTTTTAAGAAAAATAAACAAAAAACTCTGTTCTAACTTCTCCTGTAGTTGTAAGCAAAAGTTATTAGATTGAGTTTCTCAGATAATTCTTTAAAAATGCAGGGTGAGGGCAGGGCCAGACTCAGTAAGCAGGTATTCTTTTGGCCTTTCTCCACTTTCCATCTGGAATGTGGATGTGGTGCCACATGTGAAGCATTGAAGCATTTATCTTAAAACCATGCATTTACCATGAAAGGATGAATAGGAAGTTTGCTATATTAAATTAAAATAGAAGATTTTAAGTTTCTATTTTGTGAAAGCAATTTGGCAAAAAAAAAAAATTCTACCTATATATACATGAAATGTATAGTAGAATTTTAATTTTCTTCATTGTAATTAAACTCAAATCGGTGTTTCCTTGTCTTTTTGTTTAGTTTCTTCCATGTTCAATTTACCACAATAGCTAGCCTGTGGTTTTGCTGTTGGTAAATATTTGATTGATGAAAGAATAATGATCATGTGATAAATGATAGTAGTATTACTTGTTTTTGGTTGCACAGAAGAAACATGCACAGATTGCCTGATGTTTGCATTATTCTGAAATTACTGTCTCTATGTTAATTCTACCTCGGGTGTGGCATAGTAAGTATTCTTCAAACTAGGTATGAATTCTTAATAATCTAGAGGACTTATTTATTTGGTACCAGGAACTGAACCCAGGGGCACTAAACCACTGAGCCACATCCCCAGACCTTTTTTTTTTTTTAATATTTATTCTTAAGTTTTTTTTTTTTTAAGGTGGACACAATATCTTTATTTTACATTTATATGGTGCTGAGGATTGAACCCAGTGCCTCCTGCATGCTAGGCGGGCACTCTACAACTGAGCCACAACCCCAGCTCTTTTTAAGACAGGATCTTACTAAGTTGATAAGGCTGGCCTCAAACTTGCTATCCTCCTGCTTCAGCCTCCCAAGCTGCTGGGATTAGAGGTGTGAGCCATGTACCCAGGCACAGGACTTTTTTACAAGGAATGAAAGAGATTCACTGTTCCTCAGTGTACTTTTGTTTTCTTTTATGCTTCCTTTATTAAATTTCTAAGCTAAATGAATAAAATATTTCTAATTTTTTTCTTAAGCACTCAAACTTGATTACTGGTTTTGGTTAATATGTATACCTTAAAATATTTAAAGTTCTCTTACAAATTTAAGAAGGCTTTTTTTTTTAGTATTTTTTAAGACACATTGATGGACCATGATATTATTCATTTATTTTTATGAGTTGCTGAGAATCGAACCCAGTGCTTCACATATGCTAGGCAAGTGCTCTACCACTGAGCCACAGTCCCCCCAAGGTTAATTCTTTTGGATACTTAAAAAAAATTTATTAGTTGTTGGTGGCCCTTTATTTATTTTTATGTGGTGCTGAGAATAAAACCCAGTGCCTCACACATGCTAGGCAAGCACTCTACCACTGAGCCACAACCCCAGCCCCTTTTGGATACTTTAAACATGGAAATATCAGAAAAGATCAGAAGAAGGTATAAAAAGTAGGGACAGGGCTGGGGTTGTGACTCAGTGGTAGAGCACTTGTCTAGCATGTGTGAGGTACTGCATTCAATCCTCAGCACCACATATACATAAATAAATTAAATAAAGGTATTGTATCCATCTACAACTAAAAATATTTTTTTTAAAGTAGGGACAGACTTTTTAAAAGGTAATTGTGGAAGGGATAATAAGGAAGAGATAATGATGATCTAGAAGAGGAGTTGGTAGTAGAGATGGGAAGAAATAGATGGATTTTAGATACATTGAGAGTAAAATGGGAGAACTTGCTGAAGGACTAGATGTAAGAAAAGGGAGAATGAGGGCTGGGGTTGTGGGTCAATGGTAGAGGGCTCTCCTGGCATACATGACAGACAGGATTTGAACCTCACATAGAAATATAATATTGTGGCTGGGGTTGTGGCTCAGTGGTAGAGTGCCTGCCTTGCACGCATGTAGCCCTGGTTTCAATAAATAAATAAAAATAAAGATATTGTGTCTATTTACAACTAAAAATATTTTTAAAAAGAAATAATATTGTGTCCATCTAAAACTAAAAAATAAATATAAAAAAGAAATGGAGAATGAAAACTGACTCAGGTTTCTGAGTAATTAAGTTGATTAGAAGTGGTACAAAGGAGGAGCCAAAGAAACATGCAAATTGTATCTGCTGGGGTCACTTTACCTAGTAGAGGACTGTTGGCATGCCAGACACCTCTGGTTTCTCTCCTGAAGTAGGTAAAGTAACTCGTAACTATTATGTGGTCTTGAGTTTGAATCTTTCTAATGATTATCACACAAGCTATTCTTTAATGTTAAGACTCTTATTTTTATATAAAAATTTAAAGGATAGAGGAGTAGGTAACAGAACACTGGTCATACTTTCTGGAGGTAAGAACTTGGTGCTGTAACTTAGATTCAAATCATCTAAGTATTTGCAAATTTCTCAGATTGAAAATCAGAACAAGAATTCATTTCCCCAGTGTTATTTAGTCAAGAGCTTTTCCATCTGAATTTCCTTAGACATGGATTATGTCCTCACAGTCCATTATATTCTGAAATCTATGTTGAGAGTCTTTGTCACCTTTCCTCACTATATTGCTCCTCTATATTGGTCCACATTGAAATTCACTCTTTTCCAATAGGGATTCTTCACTTTTCTGACTTAATGAGCGACTGTAGGAACATAGTGACTGAAGCAGAAAGTGCACAAGAGAAGAAATTACAGCTGGGCATGGTAGTTTATGCTTGTCTCTTTAGTTGCCTATGCTGATAAGATGAACTGGGTTCAAAGAAGCTGGCTGCAACATTAGACAAAGAAAATGGCAGAGAAATCATTCACCACACAGACATGAATTTCTCAGACTGAGGGTGGGACTGCTCTGAGTCCCTTCACATATGCTAGGCAAGTGCTCTACCATGCTGGACAGTGCTAGAAAGAGGGAGCGTACATCCAGAATCTATTTTATAGCGGGGGACACACAAAGGAGCTTTGATGGAATGTTCTTCACCAAATAAGGCAGGGGATATGGTTTTAAAAGGTGGAGTTTTGCAGTCAGCAGATGGATATCTTGGCAAGTCACGCATCTTAGGTGCTGTGGGATCACAGCAGAGCAAGAGGAAAAGTGCACTGATGTCACACAGCCCAATCAGGGCACAACGCCAGACCTGCCCCCTTATATAGCTCCAATGCTCATAGTTCACACCCATAGCCGGTGGATAGCTTGCAACATGCCTGTAATCCCAGCAATTTAGGAGGCTAAGGCAGGAGAACTGCAAGATTGAGGCCAGCCTCAGCAACTTCGTGAGATTCTAAGCAACTCAGGAAGACCCTGTCTCAGAATTAAAAACAAAATAAGAAAAAGGCTGGGAATGTGGATCAGTGGTAAATGTACCCCTTGGATTCAATCTTCAGTGCCAAAAAAGAAAAAAATTAGAAATTATTTTTTTATTTTTTAATGGTACTGGAGAGTGAACCTGGGAACTCTTAACCACTGAGCCACATCCTCAGCCCTTAGTTGTTTCTTGAGATAGGGTCTCTTTAAGTTGCTTAAGGCCTCACTAAGTTGCTGAGGCTGGCCTTGAACTTGTGGTACTCCTGCCTCAGCCTCCCAAGCTGCTGGGATTACAGGCATGGTGTACACCACACCTGGTCTGTACCATACTTTCTGATTATTACAGCTTGATAGGGAATATTGAAATTGAATAGTCTTAA